GTCTCTATCTTTCTTTCTTTTTTTCTTTCTTTTCTTCTTTCTTTCTTTCTTTCTTTCTTCTCTCTCTCTCTCTCTCTCTCTCTCTCTCTCTCTCTCTCTCTCTCTCTCTCTCTCTCTCTCTCTCTCTCTCTCTCTCTCTCTCTCTCTCTCTCTCTCTCTCTCTCTCTCTCTCTCTCTCTCTCTCTTCTCTCTCTCTCTCTCTCTCTCTCTCTCTCTCTCTCTCTCTCTCTCTCTCTCTCTCTCTCTCTCTCTCTCTCTCTCTCCTCTCCCTCCTCCCTCCCTCCCTCCTCTCCTCCCTCCTCTCTCCTTCTCCTTCTCCTTCTTCTCCCTCTCTCCCTCTCCCTCTTCCTCTCCCTCTCCCTCTCCTCTCCCTCTCCTCTCCCTCCCCCTCTCCCTCCCCCCCCCCCTCTCTCTCTCTCTCTCTCTCTCTCTCTCTCTCTCTCTCTCTCTCTTCTCTCTCTCTCTCTCTCTCTCTCTCTCTCTCTCTCTCTCTCTCTCTCTCTCCTCTCTCTCTCTCCCCTCTCTCTTCTCTCTCTTCCTCTCTCTCTCTCCCTTCTCTCTCTCTTTCCTTCCTCTCTCTCTCGTCTTTCCCTTCCTCCCTCTCCCTCTCTCCCCATCTCTCCTCACCCTCCCTCCTCACCATTCCTCGTCCCTCCCTCCTTTCCCCCCCCCCTCCCGTTGACGTATTCGGCGAATGCTAATTGAGTGAGAAGATTGTGTTTCATTTGGTGATTATGTGGTCGTTAAGGGCAATGATGTTGTGCATGAGAAGGTTACGAGAGGAGGCTAGGGGGAGGGAGGGGAATGGAGGGGTGGGGAGGGAGAGGAGAGGTGGACTAGGGGACGGGAGGAGGGAGGGGGAGGGTGGGGGAAGAGAGGAGGGAAGGTTGACGGGGAGGAGGGAATGGAGGGGGTGGGAGGAGAGTAGAGGAGGACTAGGGACGGGAGGAGGGAAGGGGAGGATGGGAAGGAGAGTAGAGGAAGAGGGAAGGAGAGGAGAAGGAGGGAGGACTAGGGGACGGAGGGGAGGGGAGGATGGGAAGATAGTAGAGGGGAGGAGGAGAGGAGGGAAGGAGAGGGAGAAGGAGGAGAGGAGAGGAGGGAGAGTTGAGGAGGACTAGGGGTCGGGAGGAGGGTAGGAGGGTGGCGGAAGAGAGGAGGTTAGGTTGACGAGGAGAGGACAGGGGTCGGGGGGGGGGGGGGAGGGATGGGAAGGAGAGTGGAGTAGGAGAGGGAGGGGAGAAGGGAGGCAGAATAGAGTAAGAGGAAGAGAAGGGAGGACAGGGGAAACGAAAACGGAAAGAAAGAAAACAAGGAAGGGAACGAAAAAAAAAAAATAAAGAAGAACGTAAAGAACAATCTAGAGAAGAAAAGAAGAAAGAGAAAAGGTTAATGAGGAAGAGGATAGTGAGAGAACAACTAGTGAGTAGGACGTAAACGTTGAGAAGAGAGAAAATAAAGAAATTGATAAAGGGTTAGTGAGGGAGGATAGTGAAGAGAATAACGTTGGTAGTAGGAGTAGAAAGATAAACGTTGAGAAAAGAGAGAACAAGCGCGAGTAGAATAGGAGAAGGAAGGGCGAGTGGAAAAGAAGAGAGAGGGAAAAAATGAATAGAGATTGATAAAAGAAAGAGAAGAGGGTATGGGAGGAAAGGGGAAAAGAAGTATATAGAGGAAAACGAGCAAGGTGGATAAGAGAAGGAATAATGAGTTGCCAAAGCGAAAGGAGAGATAAAGAAACGAAGAGATGGTACATTAGGAAAGGAAAGAGAAGGTGAGAGGGGAGAGAAAGATGAGAAAAATGGGGGAACTGGGGAAAGGGATTAAAGGGGAAAGTGCGGGAGGAGAGAGGGGTACGGAAGAGTGAAAGGAGAGAGAGAAACGGGAGGATGGGAGAGGAGAGAGAGAAACGAGAGAGAGAGGAGAGGGAGCAGGAGAGTAGGAAGAGAGAGAAGAACGAGAGATAGGAGACGGGAGAGGGGAACGGGAAAGTGAGAGGAGAGAGAGAAACTGAAGAATAGGAGAGGAGAGAGAGAAATGGGGAGATGGGAAAGGAGAGAGAGAGAAACGGGATAATAGGAGAGAAGAGGGTAGCAGGAGAGTAGGAAGAGAGAGAAGAACGAGAGATGGGAGAGGGAGAGGTGAACGGGAGAGTGAAAGGAGAGAGAGAAACGAGAGGATGGGAGAGGAGAGGGGAGCGGGAGAGCAAGAAAAGAGAGAAGAACGAGAGATAGGAGAGGGAGAGAGAAACGGGGAGATGGGAGAGGAGAGAGAGAAACTGAAGAATAGGAGAGGAGAGAGAGAAACGGGGAGATGGGACAGGAGAGAGAGATAAACGGGATAATGGGAGAGGAGAGGGAAGCAGGAGAGTAGGAAGAGAGAAGAACGAGAGATAGGAGAGGGAGAGGTGAACGGGAGAGTGAGAGGAGAGAGAGAAACTAAAGAATAGGAGAGGAGAGAGAGAAACGGGGAGATGGGAGAGGAGAGAGAGAGAAACAGGATAATGGGAGAGAAGAGGGAAGCAGGAGAGTAGAAAGAGAGAGAAAAACGAGAGATAGGAGAGGGAGAGGTGAACGGGAGAGTGAGAGGAGAGAGAGAAACTGAAGAATAGGAGAGGAGAGAGAGATAACGGGATAGAGGAGGGAAGCAGGAGAGTAGAAAGAGAGAGAAGAACGAGAGATGTGAGACGGGAGAGGGGAAGGGGCATCGAAGTTGTCTAATACTCTAAAAGTTTTGGGAGAAACAGCGCCAGCACTGGGGTCCTTGTATCACATTTTCGAATAACTCGCAACTAGTCGAAGGTTTGGGAGCTTGCCAGGCGTCCACTCCGTCTGTCTGTCTGTCTGTCTGTCTGTCTGTCTAGATCTTTGTCTCTTTGTCACTGTCTGTCTGTCCGTCTCCGTCTTTTTCTCTGTGTCACTCTCTGTCTATCTGTCTTCTTTTTTTCTGTTTCACTCTCTGTCTGTCTCCATCTTTGTCTTTTGTCACTTCTGTCTGTTCTGTCTCTGTCTGTCTCCATCTTTGTCTCTTTGTCACAGTCTGTCTGTCTGTCTCCGTCTTTTTCTCTGTGTCACTCTCCGTCTGTGTCTCTGTCTGTCTAAATCTTTGTCTCCTTGTCACTGTCTGTCTGTCTGTCTCCTTTTTTTCTCTGTGTCACTCTGTCTGTCTGTCTGTCTGTCTAAATCTTTGTCTCTTTGTCACTGTCTGTCTGTCTGTCTCCATCTTTGTCTCTTTTTCACTCTATCTGTGTGTCTGTCTATCTTCATTGTCGTGTCTTTGCCACTGTTTGTCTCTATCAACCCATCTTTATCTTTTTGTCACGGTTTGTCTGCCTTTGTCTATCTTTATCACTGTCTATCTGTATTTGTCACTTTATCTTTATTTATTTATTTATTTATATATTTATTGTCACTGTATCTGTATCTGTGTCACTTTGTTACTATCTTCCTGTCTTTGTCTCTGTCACTGTCTCCCGGTCTTTCTCTCTGCCTCCCTCCCCCCTCCTTCTCTCTCTCTCTCTCTCTCTCTCTCTCTCTCTCTCTCTCTGTGTGTGGTGTGTTGTGTGTTGTGTGTGTGTGTGTGTGTGTGTGTGTGTGTGTGTGTGTGTGTGTGTGTGTGTGTGTGTGTGTGTCCCTATTTCCTACCCATTTCTTGATTTTGTCACAAGTGTAACAATAAAGGAAATGATGGATATCGACATAAATCAATAAAATCACCCCTTTACACTCTAAAGACATCCTCACGCCTTCCTTCCTTCCTCCTCCTCTCCTTCTTTTCCCGTTCTCCCCGTCCTCCCTTCCTTCTGCCTCCATCCTCTCTTCATCCTTTCCTCACTTTCTTTTGTCCCTCCCCTCCCTCCTCCTTCCATCCTACCCCACTTACTTCCTCCCTCTTCCTCTCCCCTCCTCCCCTTCCCCTCCCTCCCCCCCCGTCCTCTCCCTTCCTCTCATCTCCTCCTTGCTCCTTCCTCCATCCTCCTATCCCCCACCTCCCCTCCCTCCCTCCCATTTCCCTTCCCTCCATCCTCCTTCCTTCTCCCTCCCCTCCCTCCCTCCCTCCTCCCTTCCTCCCTCCCACCCCTCCCTCCTCCCCCTCCTCCCATCCTCCCTTTCCATCCCTCCCTCCCTCCCACCCCCTCCCTCCCTCCTTCATTCCCCTCCCCCCTCCCCCTCCCCCATCCTCCCATCCCCCCTCCCCCTCCTCCCTCCCTCCCTCCTCTCCTCCTCCCACCTCCCCATCCTTCCTCCCATCCCCCTCCTCCCTCCCTCCCCCTCCCTCCCTCTCCTCCTCCCTCCTCCCATCCCACACCTCCCTTCCTTCCTCCCATCCTCTCCCTCCCTCCCTCCGCCCATTTTCCTCCGTAAAATATACGAACTCAGACAGCCAAGATGGCGTCTTGAAAGTTATCCGAACCGTGCCGCTTTACAGGCAACAACAGCGATGCGTTATTCTGACCGTATAATAATTCCTCGACGGCGAATATGGCTTTTGGGGAATTATTTTAACGGTGTGGGAATTTATTTTTTTCACTTGATATCTCTTTCCCACAATTTTCCCTTTTCTGTGTCTGTGTCGTCAGCTTTAGCAATGTTGAAAATAAATGAAAAAAGAAATCACCGCTATTGATGTTATTTATGTGTCGTTTCTATATGTGTGGCGTGGTTGTGTTTGGTTGTTTGTTTATTTGTTGATTATTCTGCAAAAACTTTTTTGGATATTTTTTTTTCGGAGAATCACGATGTTGTTTATGAGATCTTGTTGTTTTAACAAATCTGGTTGTCTTTTTTTGTTAATTAATAAGACAAAACGCACTTTTTTTTCTCCTCACTGCTAAAATAATCTGTTTTTGTTTGTTTGTTGTGCACCATAATTATCCATTATTTCTTACCCGTCACTAATTTCGTCCCTTTTTTCTCTCTCCTTTCCTTTCTCTACGACGCCTACGCCCATCCTGAACGGCCGCCCACCTTCGCAACGCCGCCCACCTACGCCCGCAACAG